AGCAGGCCAAAAAGGACAATAACAAAACATGTTCGTCTTATAGAGACGGTTGTTTGTGCCGCCTCAATTGTAGCTGATGATGTTCCTACCACTTATAAAGACGCAATCCAAAGTTTAGAAGAAGATACATGGAGGATTGCCCTGAATGATGAAATACAGTCCCTTCATCAGAATCATACATGGAGATTGGCCAATCTCCCGGAGGGAAAGAAAGCAATTGGGTGCAAATGGGTATTTGCAAAGAAAGAAGGATTTCCTAGCCAAGAAGATGTTCGCTACAAAGCAAGATTGGTAGCCAAAGGATATGCTCAAAAGGAGGGAATTGAATACAATGAAGTGTTTTCTCTAGTTGTAATTCATTCATCCATTAGAATTATGTTGGCTTTGGTAGCACAGTTGGATTTGGAACTAGTTCAGATGGATGTAAAAACTGCGTTTTTACATGGAAACTTGGAGGAGGAAATCTACATGACTCAGCCAGAAGGATTCAAAGTTGCTGGAAAAGAAAATATTGTATGCAAACTTGAAAAATCATTGTACGGATTGAAACAATCTTCTAGACAATGGTACAAGCGATTTGACAAATTTATGTTGCGGTAAGGGTACAAGAGAAGCAAATACGATCATTGTGCATATTTGCGCAAGCTTGAAGATGGTTCCTTTGTATATTTTCTTCTATATGTTGATGATATGTTGATAGCTTCCAAGAATTCGGAAGAAATTGATAAGTTGAAGATTCAACTGAAGAAGGAGTTCGAGATGAAGGATTTGGGTGAGGCAAAGAAAATTCTTGGCATGGAGATAATAAGAGATAGACGTTCAAAGAAACTCTGTTTATCTCAGAAAGAATATTTGAAGAGAGTACTACAACGCTTTGGCATAGATGAGAAGACTAAGCCAGTTAGTACTCCACTTGCTCCCCATTTTAAGCGAAGTACTACTATGTCGCCAAAAAATGAAACTGAACGAGAGTATATGTCAAAAGTATCATACGCAAATGTTGTTGGTAGCTTGATGTATGCAATGGTCTGTACGAGACTTGACATTTCACAAGCTATTGGAGTTATTAGCAGATATATGCATAATTCAGGAAAGGAGCATTGGCAAGCTGTAAAGTGGATTCTACGGTATATTCATAATACTATAGATGTTGGGTTAGTTTTTGAGAAGGAATGCAATCAGTCTGTAGTTGGATATTGTGACTCAGATTTTGCGGGTGACTTGGACAAACGAAGATCAACTACTGGTTATGTGTTTACTTTTGCAAAGGCACCAGTTAGTTGGAAGTCTACTTTACAGTCAACAGTTGCTATGTCTGCAACAGAGGCAGAGTACATGGCTATTACAGAGGCTGTGAAGGAGGCAATTTGGCTTCAGGGGTTGCTAAAGGAGCTTGGTATTAGACAAAAAAGTATCACAATTATTTTGTGATAGTCAAAGTGATATTCAATTAGCGAAGAACCAAGTTTATCATGCAAGGACGAAGCACATTGATGTTCGGTATCATTTCGTACGAGAAATCATAGAAGAAGGTGGAGTCATGGTGAAGAAAATTCATACTACGGAGAATCCTGCTGATATGCTGACAAAAGTGGTGACTGCGGTCAAGTTTCAACATTGTTTGGATTTGATCAACATTGTTGAACACTAAAGATTGAAAATGAACATAATCAAAATTTGTTATTGAGAGATAATTGAAGATGTGGAATTTTGCCTAGGTGGAGATTTGTTGAAATTGCAAAAGTCCCATATCGGTGGGTGACAATTTTGGATGGGAATTTTTCCCTATAAAAGGAGGCCTAATGTTTAGAATTAATACACACCTCTCATTTGCCTTCTCATTTTCTTAAGGCATTTGTATCTTCTCTCCTTAGTATTATTTCACTTGTATTTTTGGAGTGAAATAAAATATTGGTTGTGTCCGAGGAAGTAGGCAAAATTGGTCGAACCTCGTAAATTCTGGTGTTCCTTTTATTGTTGTTTTATTGTTTTATTGTTTTATTTATTATTTGATTGCTGTCATAATTTTTGATATAGTAATTGTGACTCATTCATACTATATACATTTGGCTTCCGCAACAGATCTTACATATTATGTTGCGAAGATTCTCTGCGAGAGTGGTTACACATTTAAGTATAGGATTGAAAAAGATGTTTTTTGTCGTATGAAGGAGACAACTGGGTTTGTTGCACTGGATTTTGAAAAAGAGATTGAGGAGGCAAAAAAATACATCTCATCAGTTGAGAAGGGCTATGAGCTTCCTGATGGTGAAGTCATTAATATTGGTGTTGAGAGGTTCCGTTGCCCTGTGTTCCTCTTCCACCCGTCATTGGTTGGAATGGAAGCNAAATCCTCTTCCAACCGTCATTGGTTGGAATGGAAAGGATAGGAATTCATGAAAAAGCCTACAACTCAATCATGAGATGTGTTGTTGATATTAGGAAAAATCTATTTTCAAACATTGTGCTAAGTGTGGATCAACTATGTTTCCTTGCATAGCAGAACGTATGAGCAAGGAAATCACCGTACTTGCTCCAAGCAGCAAGAAGATCAAGGTTGTTGCACCCCCTGAGAGGATGTATGGTGCCTGGATTGGAGGATCAATTCTAGCTTCTCTCTGTACTTTCGAACAAGTTAGTTTCTTTTTGCTTTATCTCACTGATCAATCAATCAATGTATTGTTAACTCTTTTAAGCTCAAGGGATTTAGCAGCTAACATCTGCATCCATGCAGATGTGTATAACAAAGGGCGAGTTTGATGAATCTGGTCCCTTTATTGTCCACAGGAAGTGTCTCTAATATTGGTGAGAACTTAAACTAATCATCTTTTATTAAATAACATTAAATGAATGCTTCATATTAAGTCAAAGTGGCCTGCTCTTTTTTGAAGTGTTACCCAATACTTTAAGCGGTCTGTGGTTAACATGCTATTCTTGCTTGGCTTTGCTTTATCTTTTTCTTTGTAATATAGCTAGTGGGCAGGAAACTGGTTATAGTGATTTTTGGGTTACGAACACTGCTTATGTAAGCAGAGTATTTGATCGAGCGGAATCTGAAAATATATCGTTTTTATGCTTAGTATACTATTTGGATTGGATTTTTATTAGCTTTGAAGATCTTATAGCCGTTTGTTATCAGTTTGCAATAAGAGATTTTTGTTGATACCTTTCTATTGTTGTAGGTGATATGAATGGGTGCCAATATAGTTTGGAAATTAAATAGGCAGAAGAAGCATTTAGATCCCACTTTGGCAAGAGAAATAAGTGAACGTTGATTGCAGACATGTTTTCTGTTGGACTCAATAGAGAAAGACAACACAACTTTTAACTGCATACTGTACAGATAGCTGAAAAAAGCAAGTCTCTTTCCATGTTGTGTGTTTGACATGGATTCTTGTTCTTACGTTTTCTCCTTGTGTGTTTTAACAATTTAACGTTTTTTGTTACTGCTGATATGTGAGTTACGCGTTTGCCACAATTTTGAACTCTGCCATATAACAAAAATCTAATATTTAAGTGAAGAATAAAGGCTCATTCCATGAGTTTCAAATTATGCGCGGCAGCTGCTCTCAGGATTTTCCGATTATTTAAAAAAGTTCAAACTAGCTAGAGGGTTCTTTCTGGAGAATCCCATGGTTTGTGTTAGTTTATATGAATCCACCAAACTATAGAGTACCTGGTCCTCTATAAGTTTCCACTGAGAATACTAATTAAAATCGTAAGTAAATGAGATACGAGATTTTTACGTGGAAAAATTCTAATTCAAGGGGACAAAAACCACGACCTACACTTGTAGGCTTTCAACTTCACTAACTTGTAAACACACTATTACAAGCCACTTTGTAATGACTCTATTACAAAGACTTCAACTCAACTAACTTGTGATACACTTACCACAAGTCGTAGCGATCAAAAACTCACCATGAGGCCAAGCCGCTAAGCCTCGCCAAAGGCCGAGCCAATATCGGATGGCTTACCACCTTCAAAAGGTAGCTGATCGACGGAATCACTTCTTCTTAGCCGCTGAGAAGGAGTCGCCCCACTGTAAGCCCCTTCGCACCTCGGGGCATCTTTTCGTTTGTCATCAATCCTCGATCCCAAGGCCAGCAATCTCTCCTCCTCCCCCGGAGGACACGGCCTCATTTCGTAAAAATCACTGATCCTACGGCAGTTGTGTTAATAAGCCGGCAAGAAAAGCGCCATTTTTTAGGAAGCAAAGCGCTGGGCACCTACCATGATGCTTCGCCTCCCATCTCCCTTTGGACAGATCTCGCCATCGATGCCTATCATAAATTGAGCAAGCTGCCAGCTTAGGAGACCACTCGGCTAAATCGGGGACCTCGTTCAGCAACCAATGAGTTGCTACAAATATGGAACGGAAAGATATCATTATGGAGCCTGCCTCCGGTCAAAACGACGTTAGTTCAGATGAGACACTTACGTGTGAAGTTCCATTTCTCAGGAAATGGCAAAACTTCTCTAGGAATGACATCTGTCGTTCGAATCCGAACGAACCGATTCATCCATTCACGATCCTAATCCTCCTTGCTACCCACGACAGGGGCTCGGGTGGATCGACGCTGAAGAGAAATCAAACCCCGGTAACGCAGTGGCCGATATAACCTCACGAGATGGCTGAGGGTAAACTCTATCCCAGCCTTATTGGCGAAATATCTCATCGTCAGTACTATTTCCCAAAGGAAGGGGTGAGCCTGCACCAGTGTAACCTGATATCTCCGACATAAATCAAGCACGACCCGGTCGGGAGAACCCGGTGCAAAATCATGCGTGTATATGCTCAAAAACCCCTCAACATATGTCATGACGCTCTCCTCGGGAGAAGGTACTTGTAATACTGCGCCTTCTCCCTATCCGAAGTCTTTTCTGATCATTTCGAGGTTTTCCCCTCCCACTAATGAGATGATCCTCGACACATGCTCCCGGTGACCCGGAACATTGGGAGGCTTACCTAGCGTGACGGCTCCCCTCGAGGCAGGGCACCCCGAGGCTCGCTCATCGAGCATCGGCGGTGAGTCGCTATCATCAACCGAATGCGGAGCACAGGAAGAACTCTCCTCTACCTGACTATCGGACGTCGACGTAGCAGTCATGGCTACGATAGAATAGGAGGAGAAAGATGTAGATCTGAGCAAAAATTTTGAATTGGGGCAACGGAAGAACTAGCATAAAACATCAGGCTCTGCGGAAGAGATAGCCTATCAAAGCAGCAGAATCACCATTGGAAAGGCAGATGAATTAATATATAGGGGCAAAGCAGCAACTGCCCGCCTGCCCAAAAAGGCCAATTAATTTTAGCCGCGTTAATGTCACCCTCACCTAGGGAAACGTACTGGCGGAATCACCTCGGTCCCCCCTCTACCAAATCGAGCGAATTTGCTACCCCGTATGACACAAAAACTGTAAGGCATCGGGGGCTCCCTGATATTGCCAGCACCGGTCCGATAGGAGCTGTCGATTTAACCCCGAGGCATAGCCAGTTTTGAGGGTCCCGGTTGCTCCGAGAACGGATTTCGAAAGGCCAACGTCGAAAGTCGAAAGTCAATCCGCAAAAACAAAAGAACAAAGAAAAAAGAGGCTGAAAAAACTGACAGGAGGAAAATCCATCTTTTTTACATTGCCAATAAAGTATCCACAAGACACATCTTTAGAAAATCCATCCCCCGGGGGCTGCATACAGAGGGAAAAAGAGGGGATACAAAACTACATGGGGACTACTCCTCATCACTACTATCTTCGCCCTCATTGGGGGCAATTAAAAGCTCCAGTTCTCTCTCCAATTCGCAGGCCTCCTTGAGATCAACTGACAGGTCGACGCCTCTAGCTCTGATCTCCTCCAGGGTCTCTTTCCTCGCCTCCGCCTTAGCATGATTAATAGCTCGATCTAGCTTCTGCTCAGCTTCTATCAATACGTCACGAGCTATTTTATGTGTCGTGGTCGCATCCTCCAGATAAGTGGCAGCATTTCTTTCAACCTCGGACTTGGCCGCGGCCAAGACGGCAACCTCCTTGCGGGCATTCTTGAGAAGATCTTGGGATGTCGCCAACTCCTCAGTCACTACTTCGCTTTTCTTCCTCAGCTCGAAGATCTCCGTGTTCAGTTGGCTAATCTGCGAACCAATCTGCTCGACCTACAAAAGAAAGATGAGCCAATTTATGTCGGAATACGGGAGCAAAGGTTGGGTACAAGCAGGGCAAAATACTTGCGCAACAAGGTTAGCCTTTTCCCGGAGCGCTCTCTCCAAAGCAGCTCGGAGCTCTCCTAATTCCTTCTCTCCTCGGGAAGAATAAGCCTGTGAATCCCGTAATATCGAGGTAAGCTTCTTACACTTTTTATCATGGTAAGAAAGCTCCTCGCGAAACATAAAGAGGGCGTGATCATACATATCCTTGCACTGCGACATAGCGGAAGAGTTAAGAAAACAAAGAACGACGCCCGAGACTTAAAAAGATATTCAAAAAATAGATAGCACATGCTGCAAGGATCTCTCCGCTGCCTTGATGGCACCAGGAACGTCGAGACCGACGTTGTCGCTAACACCATCGAATATATTGGCAAGTGAGCCTCCCCCCTTGAGAGGAATCCCCACTTTGGCGGCATTCACGTCTTCAGCGTTGCCCAGCTCCCCTGACGAGACCTGAAAGCATGAGATGAAATCATTCATATCGCCGATTTCCCCAAGAGGCAACCCCTGCTCCTGAAAAGCTTCGGGACCCAACCCTTCAAGATCGATGGCAACGGTTCCCCCAGCGGAAACTACGCCAAACTCAATCATGCTATCCGAGTCCATATCAACACCCTCCCCGAGGGTCTTCGGTCTACATGACCGACCTAAGTCGGCCGTCCCAGATTCAGCGGCCTCTAAACGAGACACCTGCGAGGCTCCCATACTCGACCTCTTCCTCCGCGCTAACGGGCATTCATCGTTGTCTTCATCCTCATCGCCAAGATTTGCCCCTAAAGTCGAAGCAAAGGTCCTAGTAGCGGCTTGATGCTTGAGTGGCCTGGATTTCTTTGCCACAGGAGGATCAACCGCCACCTCACCTTCCCTCTTCTTGCCCTTGCCGGGCTCCGAAGCCTCCGCTTCACCATCAGGGGGTGGCCTCACCTGCATATTCTTGCAAAGACCTGCACAAACATAGTAATCGCAAGGTGTCATCACTAAAGGCGCAGGTAGAAACACAAATATGAGGCATAGGCGGTAAGGAAACTCTACCATGATTCTTGGCCACCCATCGCTCATTGTCCAGGTCGATCCAAGACCGAACAAGATATGGGAACACTTTGTCCAATCGCTTGATCCATCCCGACAAATCCGGAACCGCCTTGGGGTACCAAGCAGCGGCTGCAGGAAGCACAGAGAGGTCGTTATTTCAAAAGAAAAGTATTAAGAAGTGGTTAAGGGAAAATTGCTTATGTTGCGTGTTCCATTTCTCCGGAAAGGGCATCCTCCGTGATGGGATGATATCCGAGGTCTTTACCCGGACAAATCTGCCCATCCACCCTTGATCCTTTCCCTCGTCGATACTCGAGAAAAATGATTTTTTGGATCGACGATGGAGCCTGATCAAATCTCGATAAAATCGAGGTATATACATCCTGATCAAATGATTGAGGTTAAAGGTCTTACCCCCAACCCCTTCGTTGAAATGGCGGAGCATCAATACTATCCTCCAGAAAGAAGGATAGATCTAACCAAGCATCACTTGGTACTTGTCACAGAAGTTAAGGATAACCGGGTCTATCTCCAGGGGAGAGGATTCGAAAGAATTATCAAGACCTAAGGTGAACAGTTAGGTATACACGTAAAGAAAGCTGGCCTTATAGTCCGTTATATTCTCATTGGGACCGGGAATCTCCACCCCTACTGCCTCGCTCCATCGCAGTTTGTCCTCACCATTTGTATGTTGGTCACGACGCTAACGTATCGGGACATGTGCTCACATTGGCCCGGTGTGGATGAAGTGGTATCGATGTTAAAATCCTTTAACATATCGAGATCAGGTGGAATACACTGTTCCAAGGAAGGAATCGCTCTAGCTTTCTCTTTAGACGATCAAGGTGATGATGCAACTTTGCTCCGCCGAGGAACAATTCTAGAAGTTCTAGCCATATCAATGGTAAAATTTTCTCTAAAACAATATGGAAGAGTGTAAAAGACGATGGGTTCTGACTCGTGAATTTAAAGATGGGGTGAAAATAAGAAGTGTCAAACGGTTGATACATTTATAGGAACCGCCTGGGCAGCGGAAAGGGCGAGCCGATAAGCAGTTCATGGTTTACTCGATAATCGCAGTTGACAGCGACTCTTGCACGGTTTTCTGGAACATGACATTTAATGCTCTTATCGGTTGACATCATGGCAA